TTGTGCGCCCAAAGAGATAGGTAGCGGTATCCGGTGCGTATCTGTTGTTCGCACGGGTGCTTATAGAGTAGGAAGTGCGTGGATCTGGGTGGGCATTGAGTGGGCGCAAGCTGGCGTGGTAGTCGTGCGAGTTGCACTGCGACGCATTGTTCTGGAGAATGTAACAATTGGGACAATGCGGGTTGAGGGAGACGTTGTGCGGGCCATCACCGCAGCTCTTGCAGTAGTAATAATACGACATGGTCTTTGTTGGCAGTGGTAGTAGTCGTGGTAAGAAAGAGCTAAAAGCCGATGAAGGTCAAGGAAGAACAAAGTTGGACGTGAGCTTGTTGTGCTTGCGAGAGTGTGAAGGTGTCTCGATAAAAGATCTGCTAGAAGAGGAGGTCAATCAGAAGTATTATACTCAAGGAAGTGGTCCCTTGTGTCCTCTGGCCTGGCTTCAACACTGCTCCGCCACAGGAGAGAGTCCTTTGCCCTAGGGCAAGATGTGTATTGTGACCGCTGATGCCATTGTAGCTTCATTTCCGCCTACGAGCCCCACCCACTACGATAACGTCCCTCGTTCTAAGGGCCTCCAGTCATACGTAAAAGTAGAGAGGACGATGGCTGAGTGCTAAGAGCTCTACGCGTTTTCCGGCAACGTCCATGACGGTGAGTATGATGAGGGGGTTTAGTTGGATGACTGAGGATAGTATCAAAAGCCTGAGAAAGGTCGGAGCTTGACGACCGGAAGTCTTAATGGCACGTGAGACTGCTGAGCCACATCCGGTACATCGGCTGTATCGTCGGAGAATTCCAAGTAGGCAAAAGAAGGCAAAAAAACCTGAGGACCTCAATCCAGCCTTGCAGGCCTTGTCGCCTGGTTTCATGAGCCAGACCGGCATCTTCTGGTTAGAGCGTCCTTTACCGCCAACCTGATCGGATGTAGAACACCGCCTCTTCAAAATGATTCTGTCGATCGATTGGCCCAATTTGACTATGAATGACGTATAGTATGGTATGAGCTAATGTTTCGCCTTTGCTCAGTGGCAGGATTCCCGCCGCTGAACCGACCATTGGAAGAGCTTTCCTGATCAGTCTCCTCTTTTCTTAACAGAGGGTGTGCAGGCGGTCAAATCGTCGCGTACCTGCATTTGTATGCAAGATGATCTAATGCGATGCCGATTCTGGTATGCGGAGTGTAAGTCGCATTTTTGCTCACCATGCAGTATTCCATCAGAGTGGTGGAGGCACACGTGATCTGGACATAAGATGCAAGACGATGCATATAGACAAGGGAGCAGGAAGGCAAGAAGGACGGAAAGATGAAGCAAGCAATGATGAAGAGGTATCTGTTGTATGATAAGTCGCAAATCTGAAATCCAAGTCTAACCAGTTCCAAAAAGAACACGCCGTCCAAGGAGAGGCGGCCTGCGTCAGATAGTCCAAACGTGAGGACAACAAACGTACGCTCTTGTAGAGTGTTAGAGATGCCCACCAAATGCTAAAGTAGTAAAGCGATAACAAGATAGCGAGTGAAACAAAGAGCCTATGCAGAACATGTCGAAATCAGAACGAGAGACGCCAGTGATAGCCAAATGGAAAATCGCCCATGATGAAAAAGAGAGCCACGAGCTGCTGAAAAGCTGAAGCAACAAGTAAAGTCCAATGTAATCGGGGTTTGTCTAACGGGTGTGGTGAAGCTTATCCGGAACGGCGGGAGCGAAGGGCGTGAGACAGCGACTATTTGTGAACCTCCACCACGCAGCCATCGCACCTCTCGTGAGAGCAATTAGTGCAAGCGGGCTGCCATAAACCTATAGGTCCATCACCACACGCGGAGCAATACCAAATTATCGTACCGCCATCGGTAGGTGCTGGCATATGATCATGACCGTGCGAGGACGTCAAATGGCTTTGGTTGTAGTCATCGTTGCCGAAGAGTGTGCCAATGGGAAGGGCAATTCCGTGAAAATGTAATATCGAAGCAGTTTGAGTGTTGTCCGTAACGTCTTCTTCCGAATGCATGGAGGCCGAAAGGTTGTTTGCCGTGGGAGTTTTGAGGCAAACAGGTAGGTCTCGGTCATAACCGAGTGTTGATAGAATGACCATATCGAATGCTTGTTTGGCCTTAGGAGTAGCAGATGGTAATAGAGGAAGGATGTTTGTGCTTTGTGATAGTGAAGTAGAGAACTGAGTCTGCGTTATGCTGTGATGAAGTGGAAATATTGGAGGCTTTAAACCATTACCTCTGAACTTCACCCTCCGTGATAGATGCACCGCCTTTTTCCTTTTCTAGTGCTGTGCACCGCACAGACAGTCCTCTGGTGAGACTCCTGAGGGGTGCTCGAGCCCAAATAGGGTGGCGGCCCTTGTGAGGCATACAGGTTCTAATGGGCGCAACGAAACAAAACCAGTGGTGAGGCGAGGACGAACGAAGGACCTGCCAGGGTATGAGGAATCAGCCACTCTGAATGGTGATATGTTATGAAAAATTAATGTTCGTGACGCTCATTGCGTAGCCATCACTATCCTAAGGTTCAAAGCTGTGTTCTGCGAACTCCATTGGCAGTTGATGTTGGCCTAGGGATATATGGGCAACAACAGTCGGGCGGAGCAGGTAGGTTCAAGCTACCAATCGCCCCGATTACCCTCCTGATTAAAGGTAGTAGAATTAGTTCTGTTTGGATAGGACCGTCCATAACAGTTCACATGACTACCATCCAGTACCCGGGTTTATGGGCCTAGTGGCGCGAGTGAGCGTAGGGCTGCAGTACCCACCGTCGGTGTATCGCACCAAATGCCTGGTGTGCCTCTCCAAGTAAGGCAGGGCTGATTTGAATCTCATCTTGAGCAGATGAACCATTGTGGATCCCAGGAAACACCAGCCTGAACCATTGCCACTACTGCGCAACCGATCTGAGAAGGCCATCAACAGCTCGTTCCACCAGACGCACGCGAACGCCATCCGTTCTATTCGGAGAGATGGCGTGGACGCAAATGCATTGGTGGGGGTGTCCGATGAATGTACGTACAAATCACATGTGAGATTGACCAAAGGCGCTTGATTGGTGCCAGGATCGTGGATCTAGACATGGAGCATGACCGTGATGTTTGACTCGGCATACGTGATCCTGCCTGAACGAATGTCGCCGTGATCGGACTACATTGGGCTGCGTCGAGCTATCGATACCCAAAGCATAGATAGGTCGGATAGAGTCATTGTGTGCCTCAGTTGTAGGCGCAGCCATTTTGACCAGGCAAAATCCGTTTTTTCGCTCGATTCGGCAATCAAATCCCTGAGACCATGGCCTTATTCACTTGCGTAGAATTGGGCTTCACACGAACCGTGTGTTGCTTACGAGCCTTTGGGAGATCGAAGGATTCCCCCATAACACAGCCGTCACAAGTGTCGGTGCAGGCCATGTCTGATTGAGGAAGACGTTCGCCGGGATCCAGTGCCCGTGCTCTCAGACCAAGTATGCGACCTGTCCTCTATGGCCACTAATGGTGAGTGTGGCTGATAGCTAGCAGATACTCCCATAATGGCGTCTTGAAGGCTGCGAAGGCACCTGATGTACCGGTGTCCATCGGAGGTCTTTCTCGAGCGCTGAGGAGGGCAGTGCTAGACAGTCTGCTAAGTCTACTGGTTGCGGCGACAGTGTCCTCACCGACGGTCGTGCACGTTCCTATTGTGGCCTACAGCCACATCTTATGACAGGTGAAGTAAGGCGGTGTTGAATTCACGTCGTGGATGCGGCTAAACACAATGGTCGTTTTCCAATTAGTAGATTTTTGGGCAACGATGCGGACTCACTTACAGCAGCTAGGTCCCAGCGTTTGCCAATTGCGCCCTCAACCCCAAGGCTTTCTCCAAAATCTGCCTGACAAACATAAGGCTAGCCATATGGTCCGTAATGGCTGCTAGGGTTACATTGCTACCATCGGGGGGCTGCAAAAGAGTCGGATAGTCTGCTCATCATCTCATGCACGGCGCAGCGTATATAACCTAGACAAAATTGGAGCCGCATCAGTAAGAGCCGCATAGATACAAGCGCCATGTTCTGTCTCCTGCCGTCTTCTAGTCCTGATATTTACGCATGATAGGATCATATCCCGCCGGAAACAGAAAACGGTCGTCTCTTCGGGGCCAAAAGGCGGCAGCCAGCGTGTCAAACAGCGAGGGAAGCGCGATTAAATGAGGCTCTACAAGGCTGTGTGATAGCCTCGTCAGGTCGGTCAGTGCCAATGGGTTAGCTTCTTCGGAATTCTGGGCCGGTGATACAAGTACACCGGCGGTCAGTGGTGAGATAGACGCTACAGACTCAATACGATCAATCCTGATCCTGTTCTTGCCCTTTGAACGCTGTAGAAGCAGACATGTAGACGCGAATGTCAGGGAAGGCTGAGAAACGTTGTGCGGGGTGTTATCATGGGTCATGCAAGTCAATGCACGTTGGCTACTAGTGAGTAAGCAGCCTTTGCTTGGCTTGTTGTTGCTGAGAAGAGCAAAACTTATCACTCAAAGCTGATGGTTTTTCGGTCGCCAGATGGGAAAAGCATTGCGGTATCGTGAAGAACTCAATTCGGTTTGTGACGAGAGGCGTTCGTGGTGTTGCGCCGATCTGTTGCTTTGTATGACGTCGGCAACTGCCGGGTCCAGCCGATTGGGCGAAAGACACGCTACGCGTCGCTGTCGTTTATCGAAGAGGTCATTGAGATGGAGTTACACCAGACACGAACTTACAGGAGGTGGTTGTGATAACATGTTGCTCTGTCTGTCAATTTGCAGATGACGATGACGTTCCTTGTATGCTAACCGGTTGTGAGTAAATTAGCGCCCCAACCACGTGCAATCCTGGCTGCGCGGCGTCACGGTTGCTGCTGTGCAACACCCGGGGAACGTCAGGCCTTCTCGAGGGCTTCGTCGACCACGCGTGCGACCACCGGCATACGACTACGGCCATATTGCTCTATCCCTCTTCTTTTAGTCGCGCACGAGTCTGCTACAATCCCACGCGATGGCGCCCCCAGCAGTCATCGGCTCACAGAAGCCTGGCGCGACCGATACCACAGCCATGGAACAGAAGATCGGCCAGGCCACCTCTGTTATCCTACCCCTTCTAGAGCTTGGCGCGCTGGGCTACGAGACATATGTTGTTGTCTATTTGATATGCGTCCAGTATCTCATAGATCCCTCGGAAGACATCCAGCGAGATTTCGATATCCGGCCCCGGCGCTCCACGGGAATCGCACTCATCGTCGTATACGCCATCCTCCTTCTGTTCCTCATAATAGCATGGGCGCGCCTACTACAGTTGATCTGGTCAAACCCGGATCTTGTACCCCTCGGCGACCCGTCGCTAGAGAAGACGGATGCGAACACCAAGGGCTTCGGGTTCGATCAATACGATGCGTACATCTGCGATTATCAAGGACTGCCGTTGTGGTGTGAGAAATGTCACAACTGGAAGCCGGATAGGGCACATCACTGTAAGGAACTGGGACGATGTGTGAAGAAAATGGATCATTATTGTCCTTGGGCGGGTGGAATCATAGCAGAAACCACGCACAAGTTCTTTATGCAGTTCGTGGCGTATGCTTCGCTGTACACAACATTCACTTGGGTCGTGGTAGCTATCTTCTTTGCAGAGAGGAATTCCAAGGTACGTGGAGAGGCAGGATGGTGTATGTATAGCAGGCTAACATATGACAGATGGGATCACGGCCAGGAACCTGGATCGGCGCCCTTGCGACGGCGGTTTTGTTCAGCATCTTTACCTTCACAATGACCTGTATGACAGGCTGGAATCTGATGATAAACTTCACCTCGGTCGAAGGCATCCAACGCGGTGGCATCCACAACATTGCCTTTCTCATGTCTCGTTCCTCCACGAATCCCGATACATTTCATTCCTCAGCGAGCCCCAGCACCACAAATGCACTGCCTACGACCCCAACAACATCCTCCAGTAAACACCACAATAGGAAATCTAGCAGAGACATGGCTGAAGAAAGAGAGCACGAGAAGGAGGATTGGCCCATTCTTACCAGCTTTACACGCCCATCGAACCGCTCGTACGTCGTAATACAAACCAAGCCCATGGAACACCCGTGGTATACAACCCTCATGCAAGGTTGGAAAGATACTATGGGTGAAAATATAATCGACTGGCTACTGCCCTTCCGACAGTCTCCGTGTAAACAGAAAAGCCACAGGGGTGAGTTTGAGTGGGGCGAGGTGGTCTACGATATGGCGAAGATGTACGAAGACAAACATCCTGGAACCAGTCTTGCCATCCTTGATAAGAGCGGGAGGTCGAGGAGGTGACGTTGATGAGCGGTAAATGCCAGCTTTGTTTTTTCCCGTTAAGCGACTTGGGCGTTCTTCGTACATTTTTTCTTTTAGGATTTGATACCCACGTATGTTGTTGGTCGCAAACTGTACATAGTAATTCGATGGAAGGAATGGAATAGATATCTGCATCATCGCTGCATGCGCTACTGAGGGAGGACGACTCCAGTCTTGCTAGATGTTCTCACTGTTACCGCCATTCGATTCGGGTTCCGCATGGATGCTGAACGTCATAGGTCTGCGGATTACTCGAAACATTTTCTTCATTTACTAATAACAAACAGCCCTAACGTTACTCTCGCATCGTACAAAGATCACTTGCACAAGCGCGTCTCTACGTCTGCACGTGGCCAAGCTCTAGAGTCAATCCCTCTTCCGTATTGAACCAACCAAACGTACCTCTCCCATCACAGGCCTGTAAAGAATTTGGTACACGACCGCACCACCACTCAGCCGATCCTCGCATGTATCATGCAAGCACAAGTCCGATGCGGGCAATCGAAGTTCGTAACCCAAACCAAAGTCCAGGCCACTTGCCCGACATCGCTAAGTACTTCATGGTACTTGTTTGCTACTGTATCTGGTACCTTAGAGGGTGTGCCGATGGAGCCTGAAGCTTACCGGGGCCGCTTTGATGCGGATATGGACTTGAATGTGTAGATACTTTTAATACATTCTAGACCTCCAACGGTACTTTCCTGAACGGGTAGGAAAATGTTTGTTTCATCGCGGGGACGTGAGCTGATTTGCTTGGTGTTGGGTAAGTTCAGATGGGTAAGATCATGATTCTGTACGAGCCTAGCATAATTTACCATGGTATGGCTCGGGGAATGACCGGAGCATCAGTGTTGCCGGAGTCAGGTAGCGATGATCATCATCTTGTTCGTCACAGTCAACCCCGGAAAACTATCCTGGGCGTCAAAGTAACATCTGCGCGAGGATGTGGTGATCGCCGTCTATCTTCTTCTAGTCCGAGACCGCATTCATCCATCGAACATCGTCTGCAAAGCGAGATTCTTACACGCCTTTAGCCGTTGAAACATTGACAGCTTTCGTGCCTATCTTGGAGCTGTGCGCTGGCTGCAAGGCTGCCGCTTTCCGGATAACCGTTGATCGTCATTTCGTTCAGGGACGTTTCATGCTACCATGGTACTATTAATGGAGAAAGCCTCCCGCAGGGTATGCGTCTGAAAAGGCGAGAGCATGGGCCGGGGCCTTCCGGGCTCGATCATGTACGTGCGTTAGGCCGCCCGGTCCATAATGAGAGGCTTACAAGTTGGGTAGTTCACGCGAGAAGCTGCAAGGGTCAAGAATCAGCTGGGCTCCTAACTATTTTTTTACTCGCCCAGGACGTGTGAACGTTAGTCTCAGCAAAATGCGCAACAGGTGCTCTTGTGTCACACCTTCCAACGTCTATCAAGAGCGACAGGTGTAATCCCTTACAGGCCGGGCCGCTCCATGGCATCCTTGCTGGGAATGAGTTTAGAACATGGTCCTTGGTTTTCGGGAGAGTTGGTGTGGTGAGTTCGGCAGGGCGAACCCTGGCTCTGATCCCCCAATGATGTGCAGTGTTTCCCGTCAAGCTGTGAGGGGTCAATCCTAGAAGAAGATCATAGCAAGGGTCTAATGCAACTTCTGACCGGACAGTGGAGCCTTCCAACAATAAAAGCCGGTTATCAATACCAAAAGCCAAGTGGAGCAGAGAAAGCGTTAGTGATAGTGGCGTTCCAGCTGTTTGACCTTGCAAGTTTGGCGAGACCAACTGATTGAGGTCGGCGGAGAACTGCTGTGTTGAGATTCGATATCACGAAACATGTCATGGCTCAACTTGTTCAGACATGTTGCCGGGGCCGTCACTTACCGAAAGCACGAACCTCGACCAAACGGCTACTGTAGCCTCTCAAGCAACACCGTTGTGTGTCATGTTTTAACTCTGGGGTTTGAAACACCGGAGCTGTCGATGGCGTTTCGAGCATGGACACTAGGTTGGGGTTCATGGAAACCAGGGGGATGTACGAACAAATTTCCGCATTTGGCCTTGCGTGCGTTATGAGACCGAATCTGGCCGTTTACTACGAGCGCAGCATAGGAGAGCGCGCTAAACATTCGATAGTTTGGTGGGCTGGATCATGTTTGCAGATATAGCGCCACTCACCAGTGGTGGGTTTCACCATGATTATGACCTGGAAAGTCTCTTTCTGTGATTGCGTATGTTTAGTAAACTTTGTGCAGACAACAGGATAACAGTGAAAGATTTCATCATGGATGATATGAGAAGATCGCAATGTGATTAGACTATGTCGTAAACAATCTTGGAGGCCAAAGCCTATCGAGAAACGCAGTTGCAGTTCCCAAATGCTGCAGTCTTAGCGCAATGAACCCCCAAACTCCATTTTCCCAAAACGCTGATGTATGCTCCGTTTTGGGTCCCAGGGTATTCGACTGAAGGAAAAGTACGAGGCCGCTCGTGCGACCAGTGAATATTATGGCATCCGAAGATGCCCGCAAAACGTCAAGACTAAGCCAGCCAATCAAAGAATGAAAACACCCAAAGGACTGCGGCCCCACCAGAACGCCTATGGCGGAAAGGGTAGCAGTTGATGTGCATAATCAATCCCGTCATCACGACGTCCGAATGGAACATTCCGGTAGGCTTGTGAAGGTAGCACTTTTGGACGATCCCCGTTACACTGAGGGACACTAAGTTTCGGGACCATTGGCCTCGCGTTCCCGTTGTTCCTTTTGTGGAGCACGACGACGAGCGTTGATAAACCAGTTGGACACCTATTGTGGGTCAGCACGCTGTGGTCTAAGAGTGACACTGAAGGACAGAAGTGGCAGATGTAGTGAGAGTGTCAAAATGACCGTTCTTGCTAAGACGCATCACGTACCTGATTGAGACTCAGCCCAGTTCTGTTGCAGAGTTCCATCTTCTGGTCTTCTGTGGGATATGGTGATGTTCGATTGGCGGCAAACCAGTCTTTCAGGAGGTTCGTGGCCTCTTTCGGCAGGTTGCCTCGGCGCTTCCTGTTGAATGCGTTGTGGTCAAGGCCAACATGCTGTTGGAAGCGAATGTCACTGTAGGATGTGTCATAGCCTTGATATCCGGCCCGAGTGAAGTAGGAATCGTTAGGTCGGTCGTATCCGCCATAGACAGCTGCTGGAGACTCATGGTAGTAGCTATGACGTGGCTCGTACATAGAGCCTTGCTGAACCATGGATTGCTGGAAAGGACTTTGTCCGATAGGTTGCGCGTAGGAAATGTGGCCTTGGGGAGCTGAGGGTGACTGGTGTCGCATGTGTGGGTTCGAAGGCATCGACTGCTGTTGTGGTGGCACGTACGAGTGACTTTGGCGGTGATGCATGCCGGATCCTACAGGCTGTACTGGATGCTGCTGAAGAATGTGGGGCGAGTAGCCAGCAAGGGCTGGATCAATAGCACTGCTCGTGCGACGGACTTGCACTACAGGTGGCTCGTAGATGTCGCCGAGTGTATCGACGCGTCTTCGCTTACTCTCAGACCAAGCTACATCGTCAAACTGGGGTTGCACATGGGGAGAGCTTTCAACCGAGTCATTCCGACGCTGGGGAGTCCGTGGTGGTGTGGTAGTCCGTGTAGTATGGAGGAACTGGAAAAGTCAATCAAGCGATACAGAGACAATAAGCTGCAAGCCAACATACCTCGGAGAAGGAAGGAAGTTTGCCAGGAAAGTTTTGCTCGCCTGGTTGGATAGGTGGGGAGCTGCGCATGTGGTGGTTCTGTGATTCTGTCAGAATTGTGCTCGAGGTTACAGACGGTCGTAATTCGTCGCGGTTGTCGAGTGCATCGGCTGGAGTGATCATGCGCAAGCCGAAGTCAGGTAGCATCGCCAAACCTCGGGAAAGCGATCGGCGACGAGCGGGTAAAGAATATGAGCGTGGGGGAGTTGGTGAACGGGGGTGATCGACGAATCCACCCGCTGATATGGACGGGGGGTGGGCAGGGGGGTGATGGGAAGATGCATAAGCCGAGGGCTCGGATGCTCTTGCCCTCAAGGGTACGTTTTGTGCATCTCTGCGGAAGGGGTCACAGAGTGCAGGTTCGAGGAAACTTGGAGGGGAAGGAGCGGATGTTACAAAAGAGGAAGGAGAGTCTTGTTCTTGACTTACCGCAGCGACCATGTTAGCCAGCGGCCGTTCGGCAGAATGCGAGGAGTTCATCTTGCGCGAGTGCAGCGGTTCACAGTGGCGGTGCGGAATATCTTGGAGAGTAAGATATTCCATGTGTTCAACGGCAACACTGCTTAAATACTCTGCAGAAGGGACGCGTTAGCGAATAATCACTTTAGTATCAGCGTCGCCATGGGGAGTGGATGGGCTGCTTCGCTCGCCCATAGTTACTGACAGCTTGGTACCAGTCTTTGGCTGGCACCGTCGAATGCCATCGACACGAGCGGGGTCCCATAGGATGTTGGCTCAGTTGTGTGGTATTACTTACCCAGGTATTATGGTAGTGATGTAAAAATTAACTCGAAAAGGCAACCCAAGGGTCCGATGCAGGACCACTGAACCAAGAATTATATATCGCAGATATATGAGTGGTGAGGCGATGGGGGTATTAGTTTTGGGGAGGGAGTCGGGGACAAGTGGTGACGATTGAGCCGGCGCAAGCACTCAGCGATTCGCAAGAAGGTAGTTGGGGTCGTGATGACGGGTCCGAGGTGTTTAAGAAGCAGAAGCACCGTGAGCGAAGGAGGCGTTTCTAGACTAGGAGGGACTGCAACGGGCCGTACATCAAGCATACCCTGCGATCTTGCAGCAGTAGAAAGCGCGTCAGGGGTGATGCTGGTAGGGTCCAATGAAGGACAGACAGGCGTGTTTAGCACCACGTATGTGTTAACTTGACAGGTGAGAGTTAAAGTTTGGTCTATATTCTCCGAGCGTGACTATGCAGGCTCTGGCCGGACGTAGGCCGAGCGTAGGAAACAAGAGACGCT